CACCGACTGCTTGGTCCAGTCGACGGTGCTAACGACGATGCCGCTGACAGCGCTGCGATTCAAAGCGGCGGCCGGCGGGAGAGGTATCGATGGTGACACCGGCGATGACGACGACGACACGAACTGAGCAAACTCGTTGTCCGTGAGCAGCGCAAACTTGGTCAAGTGGCTAAAGGTGGCGTGTGGGTTGGCCGCCTGCAGAGCGGGAAGCCGGTCCTTGGCCGCCTTCAAGCGCCGGAGGAGATCGTCGGTCGTCAAGGTTCCTCGCACCAGCTTCATGGCCGCGCGCACGTGGTCGTCGTGGCCAAACTTTTGTTGCCAGAGCGTCAAGTCATGCGAGAGCTTATGGCGCTCGTCGGCCGAGATGTGGAGCGCACCGATGGTCGTTGCGCTCGAGAGAAAGAGGGCGCCGATGGCGGCCATCGAGAGAAGCACCCAGTCAAAGTACATTGCACGCCGCCCGGCGAAACGTGATCTTCTGCGGTTGAAGTACAAAGCTGCTGACCGGTGGTGCGTCACGCGCCGGAAAACAATCTGGCGCGGCCCATCAATGCTTCAACATCAAGAACGATGAAGTACCTTGGTCGAGGAAGGATACGCTCGATGTGGAGGTTGCTGCGTGAGGAGGGCTGCTGTCGCATGGCCTTTTGCCAAGCGTTGGTGCGTCGACGCCTGAGGAATGCTCACGGACTATGGGATGACGATAGAGAGCATCGTGCTGCGCTCTTGCAAGAGCCCGTCGTTGGCGTTGGTCGCTCGGCCTGTCCAGTCTGTGATGGTGCCACCTGCAAAAGCCTAATTGAAGCGTACGTTTCGGTCCGAAAATCCTTCGTTTGGCCTGGTTCAGGTTGAATTTGCCAATGCAGTACACACACTATATACATTTCTTGATATCGTGTGATGTAAAAGGGGTATATGGTGTTACACGACAAATTCACGCTATCACGAGCGGTTTTACCGTAAATATACGCCAGCTCGTACGAACTCATTCAAAATTATGCGGAAACACGTGGTATTATGCGGATTTCTACGCGCCATGCAGAAATCAAGCCACTGGACTCGGTGTCAGGCGTGTTCCGCTTGCAAGTACATGAGGAACACCGACTTTTGCAAACGCAGCAATGGTAGAATTTACGGTCAATTTGGAAATTAAGACCGTACTTATACAGGATCAAATTCTTTAGTATTGGCTCTGTTCTACTTTGTTTTCAAAGTTGACATCACAAATGACTTTGATGATCGTATGTGACCACGTCCGTTGACTCGGGATGTCGGCCAGAAGCTCGAATTGAGTTTTGAGTTGCTGGCTCTTGATGAACGTCCACCGTTGCTATTCCAAGACGGTGTGAGCGGACGCTGGTGTTATGAGAAGTCCTTTGTTCATTTTCTTTCATTTTTCTATATTTTCACACGAGCTCTCTCCACCTCTAAATACTCGATGACCCCTTGCGTCCCACGAAGCTCCAACCTGTTGTCGCTGCCTTGCTAAAACATTCGACGAACCTAGGTCATCAATAGTCTCAACACTTCACTTGGTCTCCAACACTGGACGACTAAACTACAACGTCCTACGTGGCACGCTCCCGTGGCTGCGACGTCGGTCGAGGCAGTTGGCGCACGCATATGCCGGGTCGATGACTACGGTTGGTCGGGGAGCGTCGCCTTACTGGCACCCACTGGCGGAAGCATCGAGTAGGCGAGGTACATGGCGAGCTTGCACGTGCCTTCGTCGTTGCTATCGCTGCGCCCGAGCCGAATGTCGCCGCGCTCGCCCCAGTTGGTGCCCCACGCATTGCGCAGCTTGAAGAAAGGGAGGGTATTGAGGTTGTAGCCAGCGTCATGGATGCCGTAGCCGACGACGAGCATGGCTTGGTCGACGTACTGCGTCGGCGGACACCACGTGACGATACCGCCCCCGTACGACTTCCACACGCTGTTGAGCGTCGTGACGTACGCAACGACGGGCTGCAACTCGAGCTGTTTCGCGAGCGCGTCTTCGCCGCGCATGGTCACGATGGGACCGGCCTGGAGCGAAATCGTCCCGGCGCACTTGGCGTTGTCGCTGCAAAACGCAGCCGACCCCGTCACGCCCGACGTGTACGGGATCGCCGACTCGCTGCACAAGGCGCTCGGTTGCGACACGAGCCACCGCATCGCATGCTGCGCAAAGCCAGCGCCTTTGCAGCCGTCCGTGCCGCTCGGGTACGAGCAGCTCAAGACCTGTTGCGCCGAGAGGTTGATGGCGTCGCCCGTCGTGAGGCAGTGCGTGGACGAGACGGCCGCCGCCGCCACGATCGCCCAGTTGCTACCGCAGTTGCCTTTGAACTTGACGGGCGGCACGCAAATCGACCTCGTAGTCCAGTCGACCGAGTAGGCGTCCATGGCGCCGCCAACAGCTGCACTGCGATTTGAGCGGTGGGTCGATGCCGGTGCAGCAGGCAATGGCGGGACGACCGACGCCGATGCAGAGCCCGACACGAACCGCGCAAACTCGTTGTCCGTGAGCAGTGCAAACTTGGTCAAGTGGCTAAAGGTGGCATACGGGTTGGCCGCACGAAGCGCCGGCAGCTGGTCCTTGGTCACCTTCAAGCGCCGGAGGAGGTCGTCGGTCGTCAAGACTCCTCGCACCAGCTTCATGGCCGCGCGCAAATGGTCGTCATCACCAAACTTCTGTTGCCAGAATAACGAGTTTGGATAGCTTCAAGTTACTGGACATACCGTTCTCGAGGTATTCGAAGCCCATCGTCTAAAATAACGTCGCGGATTTCGGATTCGAGCTGTTCTATCCACAACATGAAGCACAAGCCGCATCAAGGAGCCAAATGACGGAGCAATAGCCCAACGATCGGGTACGACGCCACCGCGAAAGAGGCTCATGCATGATAACTAGCGAGTGCAAGGTACCTGGAAGCTTCTTGATCCACGCACAGTCGCAGCAACGATTTGCGCAACTACGGCAACCACAATGTACGATTCCTACTTTGGTATCGACGACGCGCTGAACATCGTTGGCATCTTTGACGACCATGGTTCGTACGGTGAGCTCTACTCGTCCAACGAAACTAGTATCGTACACGCAGGTCCCAGCGTACCTCCGCAAAAGTCCGAGTTTGACGCTCCACGTGCGCTCTCGGGTGCCTTTTTGCGGGCCCACCTGCACGTAGCGGCCTTTGTTTCCTCTGTTCGAGAAAGCACGCGTCGGCAATGTGCTGTAGCTCGTCGACGCCATGCCCATCAACGTTTTACCCACTGTCGTTTGGTTGGGAAAAGACACCAGGTGATCTAGTCGTTGGTTGCGTCGTCCGCACTCCTTCCACTAGACAGACGTCTCGGTGTCAGATTTGTCGAGAATTGCCGCGTTGTGATCAGGTGCAAGTCCCGGAAGCATTCGTCGAGCTCTTCTGTCTTGACCACATCCCTTGAGAGCTGGTGTGTGCTAAACCCAGCCAACGACTGAGAAGAGCCGACCAATCACGCCGCTGTAGCGGTACCGTACTGTCCTCGACCGGAGCCCGACCAAGAAGGATGCACCGTCCATATTGTCTTGTGTGTCGTCGACGCATGCATGGGTTGGTGGTTCCTACGAGGGTTAGGGTTTCTCTCGAGCCAGGCCAGCGCGTAAAGGGTGGAGGTGCCTTTGTACGGCCACCGGCAAAGAAAATCAACAGTAGGCACTGCGAACGTTAGGATTCTAGTGGCATCTAGTAGTCTAGTTGTTAAGGCGCTGGTGTAAAACCCAGTTGGTGCTGGGTTCGATCCCCGGTGGTGCCACGACTTTCCGATTCTACGCGGGTGTGGTTCAAAAGACATTGCATCTATTTGGACCATATGCACCCGCGTATAATGTCTGGCGCATGGCGCAAGGGTCCTCGAACCCAAGCAAAATGCCCGTGGAAAGATCTTTTTCTCTTATTCACTCTTGCCAGCGACACCTACCTGCAGCTAGGATGCACCGAGTAGACCTGCTCATAGATGTTGATGCTGTACATATAGCTAGTGGCACATAGGTACGTCGCGCCACGGGTTGAGCGGCGCAACGGCCAGGCGCGGCGCGTTGACCTTGCGTTGCAGCTGCTGCACTTGGCCGCAATACGCTCACCTTGTCGGTCACGGCAAAGTTGCCACTCGACAACCGTATCAATCCATCGACTTGATACAATGCAATGTGTCGATTTGGATCACCGAGTTGGCGTGACGAGGCACGTGTATTTGCACCGACGTGAGCCGGATGGTCGGTGGCGCTTGCAGGGACGACGTCATCCTTGTGCCCACTCTGAAGGATGTTGATACAGACGTACAAGCGCAGAGACTGGTTGCTCTTTCTCGACTGAATACGGTTTGCAACGGAAAGCTTTGGCTCGTCATTCGGCCAGTCTTCCCAATGCAGAGAGAGTGCGACCATTGCTCGCGTGACGCCAAGCACGAGGGCCACTCTTGCGCTGAAACGTGGAGGCTGATCCGACAGAGCGCTGCACACAACCCTGCCTGGGACTGGACAGTAGTCGTTCGTCTGACGGTGCTCCCCTTCCTACGACGCAGAAGGTACTTGACGAATGCTCATCGTTGCAGCATCGATAGCAAGCGCTGCCGAGCTAACTTTGGACGAGCGCCACGAGCACCGTTTGTCGATAGCGATCGTACCTGCGCAGTTGCGCTGACAATCCGGCAACGAGGTACTCCCTACAAACGCGAGCTCAACCGACAGGCGAAAGGAACGCATTTCGATTCCACGCTGCGAGCAGCACGTTCCGGATCTCACGACTCTTTGGAGCAATTGCCACATCCAGTTGTTGAACTTGCATATCTTTGCGGCGGCAGTCGCCATCCCAGGGGCAATAATTCCCAGGGGCTGCTTCGTGCAGCAGTATCCTCCATGCAGCCTCGTGCATAACGAGCGCCGACGGCTGCGGCGGCTCGTGTGAGACACGCACTGGCGCATGCTCCGGCCCTTTCGGTTCAGCGCGTCGCTCATCGCGATGTCGCACGCCCATGCAAGGCCTGGCCACGGCGCTGTGATCGAGTAGCCTCTTGACGCCATTCTGCACCGCCGTTGCCTTGCTCTGCGGCTGGCTGCGCCACAGCTGCCGAGATGCCAGCATGATTGTGCTAGGCCGTTCGATGGTACTCGTTTAGGAGAATTCCAACAAGATATTCCTTCAAAACAAGGTTTATAATACGGTTACGAGGGAGTAGTCCGGGAAATATCACTTGCGCTTGCATCTATCAACGGCGCGGGCCAATCACCGCGACCAAGGAATTCAGCGGATGCACTTCCGCATAGCAGTCATTTGCCAATTCGCCGACGATGGCCAAGCACTTGGTCCTGCTAGCGGCGCTGGCGCTCGTCGCCTCGGTGGCAGCGATCGATGCGACCGACGACTCGATGAACACGTGCACGGGCGGCGGCGCCTTTGGCATGTTCCGCCGCCAGCCCGGCTGCGCGATCAACAACTGCCAGTGCTTTCCCGTGCTCTTCCAATGCGACGCGACGCTCGGCGACGGCATTGGCCAGTGCGTCCTCTCGAGTACGACTCCGTTCTGATATGTACCTACGTCGAGGAGCGCTCATACGATATGCCATGCATAGACTCGGGCTGGGCGTTTATGATTGCAGTGCTCCTCATCAACCTCATCGTGCCGGGCGTGACGCTCCTCAAGCACGCGTACGAGGACGGCAAGGTCACCAAGCAGCAGCGCGCCAACAAGCACAACATCCACAACGTGGCGCACGGCGAGACGCAGCTCTCGCTGCAGGACGACGTCGCGCCCGCCGATGGCATCATCCCCAACAGCGAGCTCTACATCAGCCTCAAGAAGTTTGGCAAGAGCGTCCCCGACACCGCGTACGGTCTCGACACGACCGCCAAGATCTTCATGGAGACCATGTCCAAAGGTATCCTCCTCGTCGTCGCTTCGATTCTCACATGGTCATACAGGTTGGATCCAGTATGTGTTCTACTCGCTCATTGCTGCGTTCGCGTTTTGCCTCCTCCTGCTCTGGGTGCCCTTCGAGATGGCGCAGACCAACGTCGTGCTGCACCCGACGGCCGTCGTTTCCGTCAACAGCTCGTCGTACGACCTGCACACGGCCGTCAACACGAACCTGCCGACCGCGATTCGGTTCGTATCGCTTGAAGGCGACTTTTGCGCGTCGTCGGCCAACTTGCTCGCGCCCAACGGCCTCAGCACGCTCCACGTGGCCTACGACATGGCGTTCAGCGTCGATGAGAATGCCATTTTGCAGTCGTTTGACGGCGCCAAGTCGCTCGGCTGCACCTGTGTCAACGGCGTCTGCGCGCTCGTGCCGTCGCAGTCGTCGACGATCGACGGTCTCCTCCCGCTCGTGTACTTTCCATGGTACCAAGACATCTCCAAGCCGTTTGCGCTAGAGAATAAGAACCACTCGTTCGAGCTCAACGCGACGTTCACGATCTCGGCGCCGGGCCGGCCGCAGTCGACAGCGTTGCAGCCGATCCCGACCTTGTCGCTTGTCGCGCACCACTCGTACGTCGAGAAGATCACGGACGCTGTCGACTTTGTCGTTTGGGTCCTCGACTTTGCGTTCTTCGGCCTCTGGTTCTACCTCAACCGAGCGGCCAAGCAGCCCAAGGATTCGCACAACATCCCCGAGCGCAAGGTCGTCATCTTCATCCTCTTCACCAATATCCTCAGCTCGGTCCCGATCTTCTACCTCTCCAACTGGTTCAACATCCACGCGACGAACCAAACCATCTACCTCTTCTCGCACGTCTGGACGTCGTCGGCGACCGGGCTCTGGCTCCTCGGGCTCCTCTTTGCGATCGACATGCAGCGCAAGCGCGTCTTCACGTTCCGCTTCGTCTGCGTCAAAGTGTCGGTCGGGCTCTTCGGCCTCATCACGTACATTGTCTCGTTCTACTTGGCGCCCGTGTACATTTCGTCGATCGTCGACTTTTTACTCGCGATGCTCGCGGCCGCCGTCTTTCGCGGTGTCATGGTCAACGTCCGCAACCAGCTGCGCAACCAGAGCTACATCCGGACGCGGCCGGAGCAGCTCACGGCGCGCCTCCTCTACTACATTGGCATGGCCGTCACCTACATCTTTATCGCGGTGGCGATCGTCGCGGACCCGGTGCCCCGCGTCTCGACGTTCATCTCGCGGTATGCACTCATGACGGACCTCTCGATGCAGATCATGCTGCGCACGTGCACGTGGGTCATCCTCCTCGTCTTCCTGCCGCCCACGTACGTCAACCCGGCCAAGGCGGTGTACTATGGCCGTGAACGCTCGTCGTTGCCGCACTTGACCAACGGCGCGATGCGCGATTTCGAACTTGCGCACCTCAAGCAAGCGGTGGCCGCGCAGTCCAAGACCTTTGTCGGGCAGTCGTACGGCGGGAGCGATGTGAACGCGTGGAAGGCGCCGCATGCGTTCTGCATCGAGACTGGCGTCCGCATGTACAACATGGCGACGGCCGTCTACGAGCCGTTGGACCTCGACGTGTTTGCGCAAGACGAGCTGAGCTTGGTGACCGAGCTCTACGACGCCGGCACCGACACGTACGGCTACGTGCTCCGCGGCCACCAGCGCATCGTGGTCGTCTTCCGCGGTACGGCGAGCGCCAAGAACGCAGTGACCGACGTCAAGTACAACCTCGTCGCGACCGACTTTGCTGCGCACAACCAGCCCGAGCTCGAAAAGATCCGCGTGCACACAGGCTTCTGGACCGCGTACAACACGGTGCGCGCCGACCTCCAGCGCGCGGTGAGCGAGACGCTGAAAGAGATGGGCCGCGACGTCCAGCTCTACTTTACGGGCCACTCGCTCGGCGGTGCGCTCGCGACGCTTGCGTCGTTTGATGTTGCGTACACGACCAACTTGGACGTCGTCATGTACAACTTTGGCTCACCCCGCGTCGGCAACCACGCGTTTGCCAAGGTGTATAACAAGCTCGTGCCCAATGCGTATCGCATCGTCAACGACGGCGACGCGGTCGTCGGCAACCCCAAGCGCGTCTTGCACGCCTATTGCTCGCGCAATTTGCGCTACAAGCACGTGGGCACCGTCATCTTGCTCTCGTCGCGCGCGTCCGGCGTGTTTGTGCTCGACCCGAACATTGTCGAGATGGCGTTCATCGCCAAGCTGCGCAACAACGGCCTCTCGCACCTCATGTCGAGTTACCAGGTCATGCTCAACAAGGGCGTTGACTGGATCAACCGCGAAGAACTCCAGAAGCTCGCCAAGGAGGCCAAGCTCGGCGCCGACTCGGAGCGCACGCCGCTCATGTACGCCTAGTCGATTCTCTAGACGGGATAAGAACTCGGATGTTGCAAACTTGATGGTGTTGATACAATGGCTTTGCCGATGTCGTCGCCACGAGGTGGCCCTTTGGAGAGGCACGTCGGTCTCGGCTTGCTTGCCTTGGCTGGTGTGCGTCGAGTCGACTGTACTACCGGTACCAAGGCCAAAGCTTGTGGCTTTGGTGCTACGTTGCTGGTCCGCTTCATCACTTGATGTAGCCGAAAGACGTTTCGGATACGATCGCCATTGGTGTCGAAGTTGCATGGAGCGGCGAGGCATTGACGAGCTCGAGCAAGACACGGCGGGCGCCGAGGACCTGAGTCCCGACGAGATCACGGCGCTCCTGTTTCCTGTCGCGTGGCAAAGCTACCATCGATTTGCGGTCGCGTACTCGAAGCTAGCGCTGCGCGGCTGGGTCAAGCAGCCGTCGCCGTCGTGCGCAGCCGCGTCATTAGGTACTCCTGTGACGAGTCACCCGTTGAGTGGCATTGCGTAGCGGGCGCTTTGAACACGTTGCACGAATACGGTCGCGACCACCCGGCAGCCTTCTCCACGCGCCATGTCCTCGATGTCTACTGCCATCTCTTCCGCGACAAGATCAACCGGCAACGCGCGCAGCTCGAGACGCTGCTGGCGCACAGCCTCGCGTCGCTCGAAGCGGCCGTGGAGCAGTCGTTGGCGGCCGAGGGTCTCCGGCTCGGCGTACTTCCTCCCAATCGCAAAAATAAGTCGACCTTGAGCGTTGTCATGGGCTAGGGAGTCGGAGACGCCAAAGTCTCCAAGAAAAGTCGTCGACGACACGTTGCAGCGTGCGTGGCGCACCTTGCGTCGGACGAAACCAGTGTATTCCGGGCCCTTACAAGCGCAGTCGTTGCAGTCGAGGATGCTGCTGCGACGCCAGACGACGCTGGCGACGACGACGCCGTTGCGACCGAGCTCTCACTGGGAAGCGACCGATGGCGGCCGGCGCTCGATACCTATTTCCATCGCCTCGACGGCCTCGCCAAGCTCGAGCGCGACGACAAGCCGAGCACCGCGATCTGTGGCAACCACACGCTCCTGGAAGCTGCCAACTACATCTTCAGCACGTCACCACCAGCCTCCGCGAGCCGGCTGGCGACGCTGAAAGGACGCCATTTCATGGGCAAGTCGCTTCGAGGCGTCCAGGTCGAGTGTGTTGCGAGCGCAAGCGACAACAACACCGGGCGTCTTGAGGTGCTTTGGCGCGCGCTCTGGGCGGCGTTCACCGACGACAACACAGGTACCCACAGCTGCACGATTCGTCGAAGACACAATTAGAGACTAGTGCTTCTCTTCCACTTGACCAACCACTATGCCCTCCTCTTTGCGCTGCGCGAGTGGGTCGACGAGACAAGCGGCCACGTGCGGCAGGTGCTCACGGCGCGAAAGGGCCAGCGACCCACCGCCTGGATCGACTTTGACGACGTCCACCGCATGCTTTGCGGCTGGGGCGGCTACCGCATCCTTGCATTTCAACGAACGACGACGAGAGTCTAGTTAGTACAAGTCTAGTCGAATGATCAAATGTGCCATCTTTTCCACCTCAACGAGATACACTGTTTGGCCGTGGACCTATATCGTAGCAGCCTGAACCCAAGAGCGGCAGCAACCGATGCGCTCACTGCCGGGCTCATCCCAGACAATACCGACCGCTACGACACCGCTCGCACCACGGATCCTCGCAGTGAGCAGTGGCTGGTTCACTTGCCCGAGCGCGCCAGCTTTGAGTCGGAGCTTTTGGCTAGAAAAGCTGTTACAATGACAACTTGTGTTCAGATGCTTCGTGTTGACTTAGTCGTCTTGGGGGGCGACAAAATGCATGTCGGCGACCATGAGGTAGACGAAAAAGGAGGCGAGGACGAGCATGAAGACCGCGCAGTACCAGGCGCGCGCATCGCGCTCGATCGGTTCGTAGTGCCGGCGCCGGTACAACTGCGTGACGCAGTACAGGATGCAGAGACATATGAGGACGCCGACGACGATCGCGAGTATCTTCTCGACCGACGTGCCCATGTGCTCGCAGCACTCGGCACCGGGGCAGCAGCCCGGACCCGTCGGGTCGGTGCAGCACCACAGCGGCGTGCCCTTGGGTCCGGCCGTGAGGCACCGCGGGTTGGCTGCGCACGAGTTGGGGCCGTCGCCGACGCTAATCTCCGTTGCGGCGCTTTTGCCAAAGTCTTTGCAGCAGTCTAGGAGCGGGCTTGCGCTGCAGCAGCCTTCGGGCGTCCCACAGCAGTCGACGCCCGCCGCCAAGCACTTTGGCTCGTTGAAGCACGTGGCCGACTGAACGGGCGGCGCCGACGTCAGCGGAACGCAGCAGTCGAGGACTGCACCAGAGATACCATCCGGTTGGCAGCACCCAGCGTCCGTCGCGCAGCAGTCGAGCTTGGCCAGCAAGCACTGGGGCTGCTGGTGGCACGTTTGACGATCATCCGCCGCCGTCTTGGTCGCATTGCTTGGCACTGGCGTCACTGGCGCGCAGCAGTCGAGCACTTGGCCCGTGACCGTCGGGACACAGCAGCCTTCCGGCGATCCACAGCACCCCAAGTTGAGCGCACCGCACGCCGGCTGCCCCACACACGTGTCCTTGCCTGCTGCCGCCGACGATGACGACGACGCAACGGCCTTGGTCTTGGGCTTGCAGCAGCCGAGGACAACGCCGGACGGGTCGCAACAGCCGTCGGGCGAGTCGCAGCAGCCAAGACCCAGCGCGCCACACACGGGCTCGCCATGGCACGCCGTGTCGTCCGTCGGCGTCACGTCGTGGGTGCAGCACACATTGTCACTCGGACAGCACCCGGGCAGCGTCTCGCAGCACGCAAGCGGCGTGCCAAAGGCACCCGCGATCGCACACGCCGCAGAGCCAAAGCACTGCGGTGGCGGCGGCACCGCCGTCGTGTTGGGCGAGAAGGGCGGCTGCGAAGCGACATAGAGGAGCGCGTTCGCGGCCGAGTTGCCCGAGTCGTACTTGGCGTTTCCACGCGCGAGTAGTATCGCCCAGACGCTTGAGGCGTTCACGAGCGCTTCATCCAGCAGCGACAACGTCGGCCAAAAGTCGGGGCCCTTGTCGGCGCTCGCACGCAGCACCTCTTGCTGCTGCCACGCATACTCGGGTCTAAGCATGCATATGTAGCGTCTACCTGCGAGACGAGGAAGATACCGGACGAGGTGCGATGTCATCGGTGTGATGGGCATGAGGTTGATGCCGTGGATCTCGGACGCAAGGTTGCCAAACCAGGTCGAGTAGACGACCGACATTTCACTCACGACACCGACCATGCGGTTGGCCGCAAACACCGGTTCGTAGATCGCGGGCGTCTGACGTTCCGACATGTGCCAGTAGCGCTGCGTCGAGCGCACGTCCATGGCCAGGAGCAGCTTGGCATAGCTGTAGAAACGCGTGTCCGTATCGAGCGAGGCGTAGAGCGCGACGCCGTAGTAGGCGTTGACAGCCTCCGAGCTGCTCTCTTGGGACTTGCCGTTCGACATGCTAAAGAGGCCGCTTGCGTACGAATGGCCTGTGAACCAGTCCTTGTGCCGGGCCGCCGGAAACAACGACGACGTGTCGTCGGCTGCAATGTCGCCGACAATCATGGCGATGGCGTCCGCGTGGGCTGCGACCCACGTAGGGTCGAGGCGCCGGAGCACCGCGGCTGCGTACGCAAAGTAGCCGTAATGAAACTAGGCAAGGATAAGACACTAAGACAGAAGGCTATAAGAGATGCATGTACGTGGTGGTCGTTGTAGTAGCCCGAGCCAAACTCGGCGTCCCGGTCGGCTAGCCCAGCTTTTGTGACGAGGCCGCCGTACGTCGTGTCGTAGCAAAAGTAGTTGACCGACGCCGCGTCCCACCACTTGGCGAGCTCGCGCTTCATTTTCGACAGGCCGGTCGCGAGCGTCGTCGTGTCGTTGAAGCGCTCGGCGATGAGCACCAAGCGGGCTTCACGGGCGATCTGCTTGCCAAAGTTGTAGGCGTCCGGCGTGAACGTCGGGTACAGTGCAATGTCGGCTGCGAGCGCTGCCTTGATGGCTGCCACGGCAGAGTCGTATGTTGACGACCCCGGCGACGCCATGATACCTACACGACCATGGTATTCAGAGCAATACGACAGGAGGTGACCGGACCTTTGCTCGGGTAGTCCCACACCGGGTCGGCAATCGTATCGGCGAACGTCCACGAGTTGCCGACGACGCCCGTCATCGGGCCGCGGATCGCCATGTAGGTGACCTAGCAGCGGTGTTGAGAGTTCTCTCAAGCATCGTATCATGGTTACCTCGTCGAGCAGTGTCATGTTGGCCGTGAACGTGTCCATATGATGCAGCAGGCACGTCATGAGCAGCGGCGGCGACGCACTTCCCGGGAAGCTCGCGGTCGTCCAGTCAAAGCGCCAGTGCATGACGGACGCGTTCGTCGCGTCGACTTGATGCGAGATGGCGGCGCCGGTCGGGTACGTGGGCGCGTGCTGCGCGAAGAGCGGGCGCATGCCGCTGTAGAGCTCGAGGCCAAAGCGCAGGACACCGCTGTACGACGACGGGCCCTTGAACGCCTTGTCCGACCGCGCCCATTGAATGGGCGAGGATGCAAAGAGGAGCCACTTGTGCCAGTTGCCGAGCAGCAGCTCCGAGCAGTGATGGGCCGCGTCCTCCTTGAGCGACAGCATCTCGAGCGCTGACGAGAGCACGGGCGTTGCGCCCTTGTACTCGAGCGTAATGTACGGCGAGCCACGCACGAGGTGCAGAAGGATGCCGCCGTCTTGGAACGACAGCGTGACGCTGAGCGCATCGTGGCGGACCACGAGCAGCGGCGACGCGCCAACGTCGACGATGAGCTCGGCCGTGAAGCCTTCGATGATGTTACCGGCCGTCACGACGCGGAACGGGTAGCTAATCTGCAGCTGCTGGTCAATGATCTTGACCGAGTACGGGAGCGACGCGACGGCTTCGTTCCCGAGCACAAAGTTGGTCCAGAAGGCGCCGGTCGGGAAGGGCGAGGCGGCAATCGACGGGTGCAAGTGGCTACGAGGCGACTGCAGCGGGTGCGTCACGTTCATATACGGGCCGGTCGTCGCTTGGACGACGGCGACGAGCAGTGCGACGAGGCCAAGTAGACGCATGGCACTCGTCTGCCAACTTGGGATCTGCCGATGGCCATCGTCGCCAACGACCAGCATTCCTGCACTGGATATTTAAATTCGCAGGTGCGCCTTGTATCTAGGTTTCACTATACCCGGCGAGCACCTGCAAAATATCATCCCAACGTACCCGCCTGTCTGGTCGTGGCGTGTCGCACCGGCGGCGCAACCTGGGGCGAGGCAGGGCTGCGCTGTGAGCATAGGAGGCCACGAGGCAGGTGCAAGCGACCGAAGCAAAGCGCGCTGGGTAGCTCTAGAGGTACTGCAGCCTGCAGCAGCGCTGGTCGCCACAAGGACCAAGCCAGGCGGCAGTAGCCTCGCAGCCAACGAATCTTGAACGCTTACGGGCATCTTCAAAGCGCCATCAGCAGCACGTGATGGGACCAAAGGGCAAGCTGATCGCCGCCGGCAAGGGCACTAGAGGGTGCTACTGTCGTCGCACGCACGCATACGCACGTGTTGCAGCATCGGTCGGGACGAACCAGGCGTGAGGTCGAGCCGCAACCACGACTTCGATTGTCGAGCGGTCCTCTCCAACGTAGGTGCTCGCAAGGCTACGCTTGAAGGAGGAACACAGACCGCTCGTGTCGCACAACACTTTAGATACATATATATCGAGGAGCAGTGCGTCCATTACATGGCGTACGTCTGCGACCGCAGCATCATGGTGAGAAGGCGGCCGACGTCCACGGCACTTGGTCGTTGGAGCGGGTCGTTGTCGAGGCAGCGCTGCGCGATCGAGAGCACTTCGGGCGGGCACTCGTCGGTGAAGCTCGGTCGGAGCTCGCCTTCGATGACCATCATGGCGATCACGGGCTTGGGCAGCGCCGTGCCGTTGGTCGAGACCGCGTTGCCGTACGGACTCTCGCCCGTGTCGACTTCGGAGACGAGGACGCCAAACGAGTACATGTCGGCGCTCTCGCTGTACCGGTCGCCCTTGAGAATCTCGGGGGCGATCCACGCAATCGTACCAATCTAAAGCACCACAGATGTCAAGCATACGCGTCGACGCGGCAAGTACCTCGGCCGTCATGGTGGCGTCCATGACGACTTGGCGACTCGTGCCAAAGTCGCTGAGCTTGGCTTCGAACTGCGCGCCGAGGAGGACGTTCTTGGCCTTGAGATCGCGGTGGATCACGTGGAGGTCGTGGAGATAGCTCAAGCCCGCAATCACATCGCTGAGCACTTGGACTTTCGAGTACGTCTTGACGGACGTTTGTGCTGGCCACACAAGCTTGAGCGCGGCCGACGACCGCTGCGAATCGTCGTCCTTGGCGCGGACGAGCGTCGCGAGGTCGCCGTTGGGCATGAACTCGAGCACCGCACTCAGGTCCTTGAGCGTACTCCACGAGACGCTACACAAACGATTCAAATGATATCTTGCAAACACGAGACGGACCCGATGAAGCGCACAATGTGGGGGTGGTCGAGCTGCGCGCAGAGCCGAATTTCGTCCATAAAGTCGCGGACGCCGTCGCTGTTGCCTTCGACGGCCGACGGCAGCATGCGCTTGACGGCCACGTCCATTGAGTGGTACGTCGCGAGGTACACGACGCCAAAGCCACCGGATGCGATCGTCCTGTGCATAACAATCTCCTTGTGGTCGATCCGGAACCGCTGAAATTGCGGATCGAACCGAATGTCCGAGCCCTTGTCGGCGCCGGTCGCAAGCGCCGTGAGCTCGCGCGGCCGTCCGCCGAGGCCGATCTGCTGGTCGCCGTTCTTGTCGAGCATGGGATGTGCCATTGGCAGGGGCCGCGCGGACGCCATGTCGCGGTTGGTTTGATTCGCGAGCGCAGAGAACGAGAACGCGGGCCCCTTCTTGCGCGATTGGCGGTACCGGCGGTACACGAAGAGGCTCACGCCCGCAACGAACACGGCGACGGCGACGCCGATGAGTGCATACGCCGTGTCACTCAAGCCCTCTACGCAAGCTAAGAAGCCAAGGACGAGAGAGCATATGTACCCGAGAGACCGTCGACGCACACGGTGAGGCCGCTTGGCAGCTTTTGACGCGACCCTGTCGAGCAGTCGCTGGTCGAAATCTCTGTCTTGGAGCTCGTCTTGACCGAGACCGACTGGAAGAGGGTGTTGTACTGGGCAATCGAAATCGTAAACTGGGCAATCTTGGCGTCCACAAGCGACCTAATTGGGTAGGTGAGTGGCGCATGCAGTGGATTTGCCAATACAGTGTTTTGAGATCGCCAAAGTTGCACAAATGCAAGCTCTCGATCGTGTTGCCGTCAAGGTACCTAGAGACATTGTCGATTTGCCACGTAAAGTGAAAACAATGTACAAGGTAGTGAGCGTCGACGGAAACAACACGTAGTTGAGCGTCCTGAGCTTCGTATTGTACGAGAGATCGAGCACTTCGAGCCGCGGAGGGAAGAGGCTCGAGGCGTTGGGCGGTAGTGTCGGTAGCGCGTTCGCACTTAGATTCCTACGCACGCTGTCACGACCTGGCGGCTTCGGTCGTAGTACAGTGTCTTGAGGTTCGTAGCCACGAGCTGCGTCAAGGACGCAATCTCGTTTTGCGCGAGCGACCTAGACTGCACTGAGCCTCGCATCCATCATGCGCTGCATTACAGCGTCTTGAGCGAGTCGGCAAAGGGCGTCGCATTCGAGACGTTGGTGAGCGCATTCTTGGCCAGCGACCTAAGCACGCGTCAGGCGCAGCAGAGGCATATCGCATATGTACAAGTCTTCGACGATGAGGGCGACGTCAAAGCGACGCTGCATGTTGCCCAGCCGCGCGATGCCATGGCCCGACATGTCGCTACATGGCCACAGGATCGTCGTCTTCGTGATCGCATCGAGGCAGGTTGACGTACATGGTCTTGGCGTAGTGCGTGACCGAGTCGAGATACGCGAACGGCAGCTTGGGCGGCGCTGCGTAGCACGGCTCGTCCTGGGACGCGCGCTTCTCGGCGTTGGCGAGCACGACGGCCATCGTGAGGTTCGTGCACGCGTCGACCCACTCGCTCGGGTCGGCGCCGGCCTTGGCGAAGCAGCCGGGCGAGATCTTGGCCGCGTCCGCGAAGCACTGCGCCGTGAACGTTGCCGTCGGGAACGGCTTGAGCGTCACGACGCTCATCCTGTCTACTGTCAATAAGCCTACCAGGCCACCATAATCAAGGTGATTTTTTTTATTTCTACTTGGTCTTTGTATGCTTGTTCCATCGCTCGAATTATATTGCCAATGTTCAGACCGTCGTGACACACCACCTGGTCGCATCCTCCTCCTCGGCCACCGCTCCTCGCCCGCTCAAGGACGGCCGTGCCGGCAGCTTCGCATGGCGCCATGGCCTCGCGCCATCGGCGATCGCATGGCCGCTCAATGTTGATGCTATCGGCGAGGGCTGGCTGCAGCAAGCTGCAAGTCCACACTATGCGCAAGTCGAATGGCCAGACCATCGTGACGTTATGCAGCTGCACGCAGCGTGGACCACCGCCAGCGAGCTGCGCTAGCTCATGCTCGGCCAAGGAGGTGCGACGACACCAAGGTAGACGAGCGGCAGGAAGCGGTGTCCTGGCGGGTGGAGCCGTGGGGTGTAGCGGCTGGGCGAGAACTCCTGTGGAGGGTCCCCTCCAACGGGGTGGGGGGTTTCCCTCGTTGCGAGCTCGCGTCCGGTTTCGTGGGGCCGTCGGCAAAGATACCAGCGCGGTGGCGAATACGCATAATTTTAAAAAGTGCCTAGGCGTCACTTCTGGGGGTTCCATACAAATATCAAGTGAAGGCGTGAGTAATAATTCAATATCCCCGAGCCAAAAGTGGTGAAACTATTATAATACCAAATCCAGCCCGGACCCAAAGTAGAAGAAGAAGACGGTGGCCCCATGGACGAAAGCCCGCCACCGAGCGTCACGTCGCCGACGTCCCTCGACGACTTCCGGCGGTCCTCCGTCGGTTCCATGCCCCGGCGAGAGACCGAGCCATCGGGCTACCAGCGGGCTGCGTCCCTCAAGTTCCTCCAGCGGGGCGCCAGCGGTCATGCGAGCATGAGCATGGGCCCGAACGACATCCCGACGCATGCAGGCCCTGTCGCTGGCGCGCCCATGTCAGCGCCGAGCCTCTCCAAGCCAGGCTCGCGGCGCAGCTTTGCGTTCTTTGGCTCCAAGGACCGCCCGCCATCGAGCACGGGCTCGAGTACGCAATCCTCGTTCATGGGTGGGCAACCGCCGTTCATGAGCAACAAGACGGGCTCGGGCTTGAGCGACTCGTCGATGCCCGAGCAGTCGCCAGCATCAACGGGCTCGCAAGGGTCGACGATGCTGTCGCAGTCGATGGCACCGTCCGATAGCCCAGCAAACGCGATCTTGCACAGCGGGTACTTGACCAAGCGCGGTCACGTCATCACAAACTGGAAGACGCGCTTTTTCGCGCTGCGGTCGCAAGGCCGATTGAGCTACTACAACGACGAGGGCATGGGGAAGAAGCTCGGCGAGGTCCACGTGTCCAAAGTGAGTCCATGGAGCGGCGAAACCAATGGCTTTATGTTCCAAACGACCAAGCAAATCTCGTATTACGTGTACGCGAGCTCCAACACGGAGCGAGCGCGCTGGCTCAAAGCCCTCGACGACTTCTACATTGTGCCCGACCCGGTCGACTGCGAAGGGTAAACGCGCCTGCTACCATCGTCCCTCCTCATGCAGTTGTAGGTACCTCACCAAGCGCGGACACCTCGTGCCTAGCTACCGCTTGCGCTACTTTGTCATGTGCGGCAGCGTCGTCAAGTACTACAGCGACGAGACGGCGTACCGCACCGGCGCGTCGGCGTTGGCCGAGATCGAAGTCAAGAGCGGCGGCCGCTGGGACGGCGAGAGCACCGGTCTCTTCTTCAAGACCGCGACCAACAGCACCATGTTTGTCTGCGCCGAGAACGTGGCCGACCTGCAAAAGTGGATCGAGGCGCTCGGCCGCATCTTCAACGAGGCGCCCAAGCCCGCGCCTGTCGCTTGCGCCGGCTGGCTCACCAAGCAAGGCCACAAGCGCAAGAGCTGGAAGAAGCGATACTTTGTGCTCCGGGGCACCGTCCTCTCGTACTTTGCGGACTTTGAGGCCGCCAACACGCGTCTCGGGAAGGCGCTCAGCGAAGTGAGTGTCAAGGACGTGGCGCCGTGGGACGGTGAAGTGTGCGGCTTTATGTTTGTGACGCTCGAGAACGTGCCGTACTACGTCTTTGCTGACAACGAGCGCGACCAGGCCAAGTGGATGACGGCGCTCAAGAAGGCTGTCGGCCTCGACGCGCCGACGCTCGAGACGCCCGACGAACCAGAGAAGAAGTGTCCGCGCTGCGAGTATGTGCTCACGGGCACGCGCTTTTGCGGCGCGTGCGGCTTTAACCTTCGCGGTACGAGCAACGAACGCTCCAAGATGGCGCCGCCGCCCGTGGCCGTCGCGGACGAGGCAGACGACGACGAGAACAACGCGATGGACGACCTCGACGCGCTCTCGGAAGGCGCGCGCACCTTGCTGCTCGCCGTCATGCAAAATCCCAGCGTTCAGATTGGCGGCGAAGGCGAGAATGCGTTCGCACCGCGCATCGGAAGCACCCCGTCCGTCGAGACAACGACCGACGCACCGCCGCCGCCGCTGTCGCCGGAGAAGCCTGCACCGCTCGTGCTTGCGACGCCCGAGAAGCCGCCGACTCCGGAAAAGCCAGCCGAGAAGCCGCCAGCGTTTGTGATGCGCCCGCCGACGCCGCCCAAGCCGTCCGCGGCCAAGAGAAGCAACAGCGACAGTGAGGACGAAGAAGAGTCGAAGGAAGACTTTTCGAAATTTCGGACCGCGACCGACTCGTTTGCGTCCAAGCAGCGCAAGCAGGCGCCGCGCGCCATCAACGTCCCGGGCCCGACGACGACCACGGACACGAGTTTCAACTCGTTTGGCTCGGACCAGGCGCCGGCCCGTCGCATCTCGCAGCCGATCCCGATCGACGGGCCGCAGCCGCTGGGGCCGTCGGCGCGCAAGACGGTGGCTCAGCTTCTCCACGAAGCCGAAAGCGACGAAGAAGAGGAAAAGAAGGAGCACGACGACGATGACGCGTCGACAGGAGACAAACCGGGCGAAGGGCTGTCTCAGTTCCACCTTCGCGGGTCGGCGCGGCAGTTTGATACGCTGCCGCCCAACGACGACCACGACGAGACTGCCGCCGTCGCGTCGCCAAGCTCGCGCCATAGCGATGCGCTCGTACTCGACGGCGTTGTCGGCCTCGATGAAGAAACCAAGCCGACGCCCAAGCTCGACTTGCACACGCTCATGGAGCGCGAGCTGCACTGCACGCCGCTCTTTGTTCCGTCGGCCGAGTCGCCTGTCCGCTGCCGCCTCTACGCGTCGATGGCCTACGCCACGTCCAAGAAGATTCTCGTGTTCCTCTCCGACTCGGGGCCGCTCGGGGTGTGGCACCAGAACGACAACATGAACGCTGCGCTCGACGAAGACCACCCGTTTGCGATGCTGTCGTATCTCCAGCGGGCGGTCTCGGAAGGCTACAGCGTCGTCGTCTGCAATCCGTTCTCGAACAGCGCCAAGGTGTTTGAAGAGGGCGGTCGTGAGCGCATTGTGCCGATTCCGTCGTCCGCGACCCCGAAAGAGCACGTGTTTTTCGTGTGGGAGAAATTCCTGCAGCCGACGTCGGCCGAGATCTCGGTCGTCGCGTATCAGCGGGGAGGGTCGCTCGCTGTGGCTCTGCTCGAGCACTTTGAGCGCTGCCGGACGCGTCTCCACCGCATGGCGTTTGTCGATTCCAAGCACATTGTCAACCGTGAAAGCACGAGCGCGGCGGTCCTCGAGGTCCTCGGTCGCCGCACGATCCAGTGGGAAGCGTCGAAAGACCAAGCGCTCGGCGGCCAAATCGTCGAGTCGCAAGAGCGCGTCGGCTGCGTCTGTCTCTCGATCGGCGCGTGCGACGACCTGCACGTGCTCCAGCACGCCGAAGATCCAGTGTTTGCGTACCTCTTGGCCAACCCGCCGCGCCCGGGCATGACAGCGATCGTCAAGCAGGTCCGCAGCGTCCTCCGCGCCCGCCGCAAGACGCTGAATGAAAAGAAGCCCGAGATGCGCAACTCGAATGTGTTTGTGCTCGGCGAAGCCGACACGGGCAACAGCGACAATATGGATGAAGAGCCGTCGCCCGAAAAGGAAATGCAAGTCGCGCGGCAAGCGCCGGTACGACGACTCGATAGTTTGATACGAAACAAATGTCGCGAGTAGGCGGCGCCCACGTACTACTTGCCCAAGCAGACGGCGGCGGCACCCAAGTCCAAGACGCAGCCACATAATTTGATTTCGATGCGCGACTTTGAGTTGGTCAAGGTCGTGGGCCAAGGCGGCTTTGGCAAGGTCTTCCTCGCCAAGAAGGTGACGGACCCGCACAAGGACGAGTCGTATGCGATGAAGGTCCTCAAGAAGCAGCACGTGCTCTCGAGCGGCCTCGTCAACACGACGATGGCCGAGCGCAAGATCCTCACGGAAATTTCGCACCCGTTCGTCGTCAAGCTCTACTACGCGTTCCAGTCCGAGTCCAAACTGTACCTGGTCATGGACTACCTCAGCGGCGGGTCTCTCGCGCTCCATCTCCGTCGCCGGCGCAAGTTCCCAGAGGACTGGGCGCGTTTTTACGGTGCCGAGGTGGCCGCCGCGATCGCGCATCTGCACCACGTTAACATCATCTACCGCGACGCCAAGCTTGAGAACGTGCTCATGGACCACGAAGGCCACGTGCGGATCACTGACTTTGGTCTCTCCAAGCAAGGCGTGTCGGGGCTCCAGGGCGCGACGACCTTTTGCGGGACTGCTGCGTACATTGCGCCCGAGCTCCTCAAGGGCCAGACGTACGGCAA